GGGTGGGGTTTGGGGGGGGAAATTTTTTTAAGAAAATATTTGAAGCTCATCATTGTGGTATTAGCTTTCTCCAGTGATCTAAGAATAATGTGCTGATAATTTCTGTGTACAATGTTCCTCTTAAACACTAAGGAGGTAAATTGTGATTCAGTGGCAGATGCCAATTTTTATATCCTTTTGACCTGAGGGGGGGGAACCCATGAAACACTAGTAAAGAGGATGTGAAGTAGATACTATTTTTGAGCATTTTCTGAAATAATTTACTGTGGTGATACCATAGCAGACCTTACAAGGTAGCTGGCCAAAGAACCTGTGCTTTCAGCTCTACCTTTTCCCACGCTGGACTGTGCAAAAGGAAAGGTATATAAGCTTGTTTCATGAGTCAGTTGTGTCTTTCCTTGTTACCAGATAGCAACACTGTATTTCATAGAGTTTCTGCAAAGTGGGCATCTAGTTCTGGCCATTAATAAAAATGTCACTGTTTTACTCTTCCTTCTGAAAATCTCTCGGTATGCATTTGCAAACAATGTGTGTATATTTTGCCTGGAAAGGGTAATGTGGAACTACCTAGTATTATACAGCCCTATCTTAAAGGAAAAAGAGTTAAAAGGGGAAACACTAAGATATACTAGTAGAGTTGGATCACTCTGATGCCTGTTTACTACCCATCCTTTTCTTAGGAATTCATGTAGGTTATGCTGCATGATAGAGAAGTGTCTTAAAATGATCCTCCTTTAACTCTTGGAGTGAGCTCTGTGTCATCATCTGTGTGGGTGTGTGGTGAAGATACAGGTAGGTGAGATTAATAAGAAAGCACTGTATTTTTGGTTCCTGGTCTGTATTACGTATTGACATGGAATGAAATTAGAGTAAACTCACTCGCCACCTTACAAACTACATTCCCAGTTGTTCCATAAAGAGTAATTCCCAGCATGTTAGGAAAACAGTTATTGCAACTAAGATCTAAAGAATACAAGTTTTTTAAATAGTCCCCCAAACTTCTGGGGAGGGAGGTTAATTGTA